ATTATGTTTAATGGTAGGGCTGGGGTTAGGGTTAGGTATATGGTTGGCATTCAAGCACCTGAGTATTGGAATGTGGGTATTATGGTCATTGTTAGGCTCATGGGTAGGATTAGGGTTAGGGCCAGTGCTGCAGTACTGGAGTAAGGGTATTATGGTTAGGAGTAGGGTTAGGGCTAGGCCTCTTAGTGCTAGCGGCAGCATTGTCATTCAAGTATCTGAGCATCCAGTATGCGTGGGATGGTTAGTGTTGGGTATTATGTTTAGAGTTGGTTTTAGGACTACAGTTAGGCCTAGGGCTGGATTAGAAAGTTTTGTAATCTAAACATAAGCATCCTTGGAATATTAATGACATGCTGATACAGTGTGCCCTGCTGAGTCCCAGCTCTGTCACACTGGGAAAACATCCTGACTTCTTTGAGCACCGGCGTTTTGCATTTTATGAAGAGGAAACACCATCTGTGTGAGCAGGTTATTGCCCAGAGTGAAATCGCGTATTGATGTGATTGTGGTACCGCAAGGACCTTGTGCGGTCTCGGCTAGAGGGAGGCTGCTGAGCTGGGGTGTAGGTGGGGTGTGGATGGGGTGTGAGTGGACGGCCACCTGCATGCTCTGCTGTGCTGGGACCTGAACACATCCAGCCTCCATGAGATTCCACTCTGCTCCAGAGGGGGAGACAGTCACACCAGACCCCAGGGGATTCATGTGTCTGGGTGCTTGGCCTCACTTAGGTAGGGGCATGCCAGGAGCTCTGTCCTCTATTCTGTCACCTGCAAGGTCACCCGAGACCCACACGACGATGAGGGAAGCACAAAGAAGCCAGCCATATCTTAGGTCCTCTCCTACACATCTGCTTCCTGCCTGCCGCCCTCCTCTGCAGAGTGCATCCCAAAGACAGAGCGTGGCCACTCAGTCACAGAGGACAGGCTGGCCATTGCAACATGCTGCAGTGCAGTGGCACAGGCCCAGGAGTGGGAGTGGGGGTGAGCTGAGGTGCTAATTCCGGTTCCCCTGTTCCAGTTCCCCCTTAAGACGCCATGATGCACGTGCCTCATGGGAGGCTTGTGGGAATTTGTGAGACCTGGCACCCACTTCTCTCTGTGTTCTTGCTCTGTGATGGATGGGAAAAGCCGGTTTTAAAGGTCTTTTATATTTGGGTATTTACGGAGGAGGACACATAAGTGAGTGGGGGAGGAGGGAAAACCTTGTGCAGCAGATGTAAGACATAAATGGGTGTATATAAAGACACCTAATAACACTATTAGACATTTCACAATATATTAAGTCTAAAATTAGTTTCTATGCCAAGAAGTTTTATGCATTTGATTTTTAGAAGGACTACAATAAATAAATGACTCTAGCTTCAGAAACTGCAACATAGTAGTTAAATACAGGTTCCTGACCTGCCCCTTTACTCTTAAAAACGTTTTTCCTCATTCATTGGAAAAGTTGCATGTGCCTCACCTCTCCCTTTACAGTCCAGAAGAGGGTGAAGAAATGACCAGCTATAATACTTTTTTCTCTTGTTCAGAGTATCCTAGAATTTCATTCAAGGTTTTTTTTTTTTTTTTTTTTTTGCACGTACATATTTGCATAGTTAACATTATATCGCATCTCTAATTTTGCTTTGTATTTTACACTGCGTATTATGGTAGGCATTTTATCATCATTAAAATATTCTTCATAGAAGTTCATTTAGTGTATGTTTGCAACAGTTATCTCGGTTATGTGACATTGGTACAGACAGATGACAAATCTTGGTCATTCTTATTTCATAGCCCCTCCCACTCCCCCCCATCCCCTTCTCCATCACTGAAACTCTGCATGTTTGTTTCCTGTTATTTCTCCTTTTTATTACTCTTGTGTTTTATTTTTAGATGTTGTTACAAGAGAAACTGCAACATTTAACTTTGTGTGCCTGACTTATTTTTCATTTAACATTATGGTCTCATTTTCCATCCATTTCTCTGCAAGTGATGTGATTTCATTCTTCTCTGTGGATGACTAATGGTCCATTGTGTATAGCCCACATGTTCTTTGCGCCTTTGTCTGTCGATGAGCATCTGGGAGCTTCCCGGGCTTAGCTGTTGTGTATGGAACAGTGATAAACACGGGTCTGCATAGATCACCAAAGAATGATGTGAGGTATTTTTAATGGTTGAAGTTGAAATAAACATACGTGTCAAGAAATTTTTATTTTCAGCTTTAGGGTGAAATATTTTTATATGTGGAGTTTAAAGCCCATGGAAGTAAAGCTTCATGGGCTTCAGATATAACTGAATGTTTGATTTTTCAGAAATGTCCTTGAAGCTGTATTTCCAGCTCCCTCAATGAACCCTTGAAATATCTGGCTACTGCAATATAAGTGTTTGTATCTGCTATTCTACTATGTTTGTATATGGCTTATGCTTCTATTTTAGTGATTATCGTATATATTACATTTAACGTATATAGTGCCAAAATGTGTCACAGAAAGTTGTTCAGTATGTTTTATAGCACTTTCACTTGCAGATGTTGCTGTTTATTTATCTTTAGGTAATCGCTGACTATGCAAATGGTGTGTGGACATAATGGGTTCTCTTACAGTATTAGATCAGTGAGTGAATACATCAACAAATGACTCATTGGCTATTTTGAGACCTTTTATTCTTCAGAAAAGTATGAAAATCAAGTAAGCCCTTCAGGGAATTTAGATCATTGTCATATATCTGGAGGTTAGCAGCAGAAGTGAAAAAGTAAAGCTAATATAAATTTTGCATTATAAATGAGTTTAATAATCTATAAAGATTCTCTTATTTGTTCAATATGACCCCCTTTTATCATTTAGAGGCCAGAAATCTTCCAGAATGTTGCAGAGATCCTCAGAAATTTGATGGTCTATTTCAGAAATAGAACTGTGTAGTTTTCTTTCTGTATAATGCATATTATCATAAAGCTGGAAGTGTTTTAGTTCAAATGAATTTTGAAAGAATTTTAAATATAAACATGCATTTGTGCTTATTAGAAATTTGTTAGGTAATTATTGGAATTTAGTATGAATTTTTCAAAGTATAAACAAAACATGCTCAGGGCTACAACTTCTAATGACGAGGGGCATGGGAGGCCTCCTCTCCATCCAGGTGTTCTCTCCCAAAACTTCCCATTCATGTTCTAATTGTGTCACATGCTTTCATCAGTTTCCCAGAGAAACTGCATTTCTTCATACCAAGGAGAGTGTTATTCTACTTTGGTGAAATCCTGCACAGAACCTAAATTTCATTATTTATCCATTTACTCATGTACACATGCCAACAACCATTCCAACTGACTCACAAGGATTCATTCATTCTGTGCCCACACAACCTTACTGGTGGTGCTGTGATCACCTCCATTTTCTACTTGAGGCACCATGGTCAGAAACTTGCCCTGACTTTCCAGGACCATGCAGCATTGTGTTTCATCATCAGAGCCACTAAAAGTGACAAGATCATAGTGCATCTCCACCCAGTAACGTCCCACACAGGACTGCTGTGCCAGGCACCACTGAGTGCTCTCAGAGGGGTGTGCTGTCAGAGGGGTGTGTACAGCACTTTCATAGTGTAGCCCTTCACCCAGAGACCCCTTCCAACCTCCAGGCTCAAGCTCTTCATTACATGGACATCCTTGGGAGGCTTTGGGGAGGGTGGAGCGGGTTGGGCTGTGGAGACATTGACACTGCTGCAGAAGAAATGAATGATTGCTGTATTCTCCTCCTGCTCCGACCCAGCCTACTGGCCTGTAAGCATCTTTGCACTCATGCTGTGTATTCATGTCCTCAACAACTTCTCAGCCACATGTAGCTTGCTCCTCTCACAAGGGTGGGACCCTGTTGGCCCAGGCACAGACCGCTGGGAGATGACATCAGACAGGCTAAAGTCAGGGAAGGAGGTGGGACCACAGCCTCCAGGGTGAGGAGTTGCGAGAGCATTTGTAAGGGTGCCTAGGTCACAGAAACCAGCTCACATTACCCAAGGACTTCCGTCTTCACCATGCAGATTTAAAAAATGATCCACCCATAAATGTGTCTTGGTTAGCTCCACTTAGGGAGAATGTAGTATAACATGTGATATCACGCTTTGATGCACTATGTGTAAATGCCTATTGGAAGATTAGGGCATCCTGTTTGTTCATTCATTCGTATCTGTCAGTGTTAGTACTTGGTATGGAACTGAGTAATATACTTGAAACAGATGCATGTTCTTGGATAGATACATCCGTGAACACAACAGACAAAAACTTCAATCACCCTGGTTCTTTTAAGTATTTGTTTCACATCGATTGGATCTTTGTTATCATCCTGGATCCATGGGATGATCCAGTAGATGACACACACAGTTTCTGGAGTATTCAGAAATCCCTGAAGCTTAACAGTCTTGAGATTAGGGTCTGAATATGACACTGTGCCATTGCATGGGCACCCAGGCAGTGCCTGTTCTTGGCTCCACCATGTCAGGGATGGCACCTCTGGGGTAGGAGACTTCCCGTGCAGTCCTGGGGCTGTCCACTGAGCCTGGATCTGAGTGCCATGAGGAGAATCCTTTTACATAACAGACAGACACCTGCCTGGGTAAACTATGGATACATTCCCTTTCATCTGCTTCCAGCTCCATTTGAGTCTTTGGAGCCTGTAAGTGGTGAGGCCAGAAATGTCTCTCCCCGGGCATGTTTCCCGCCCAGGCTCTGACTTCCTCTGACTCAGCACTCTGCTTTCTTTCTCCATTTGCATTTCCACTGTTCTTCTTTTATCCACAGGCTGTGGGTTCCTACCTGTGACAATACACAGGGGCAACAGCAACTGCTTCATTGATTTGCAATTAATTTCTCCATCATTTTGAGAATCCAAAATCTCCCAGCAATTTGGCATAGTTATTGCCTTTTTCTGCCTCTGCATGAAAATGGATTTAGCATTTGCCCATCTTAGGACAGTGTAATGTATAATATGTTTGAAAAATAATGTCCATATTTTTATTTGACTTGATTCTCAGGTTTGGCGATGGTCATACAATCAAAATTTGGCTCTGTAAGGAAGGAAATCAACCTACCACTATTTCTGACTATTTGAAACTCAATTTTTCAGGAGTCTGGTTTAAGGTAATGCTAATATCCTGCTTTTCCTTTAAACTGAAAACATCTTGTCTTTTTTATTGTATTCATTTATTTATTTTATTTTTTGTGGCCCTGGGTATTAAACTGAGGGCCTCCATGCTGCACTATATCTCTAGCCTTTTTAATTTTTTTAAGTCAGGGCCTCACTAAATTGCTAAATTACCTAGGCCAAGCTTGAACTTGCAATCCTGTCTCTGCTTCCCAGTGTACTAGAATTATAGATCTGGGGCACCACACCTGGCTATTGCTTTTCCATTTTTATTCTCTTCTGCCCTAAGACACTAGCGGCCTTCTTGGCTTTGTTATGAAGAACTGGCCATCTCTCCCTACCAACCCAAGATAACACAGGCAACCAACATTCCTTAATCACGTGACAGGATGGCAATCCTGCTTGGCCACTTGCTGGACTGCCCAGAGAATCCAAATTTATGCAGAAGATGAAAGTTATATGATTAGCCTTGCTTCACACTTTCGAACTGTGTGATATTCCTATTGCCTTTTTGTTTTTGTTTTTTAGGGACAGCGCCTTAATTTGTTGGAATACTATGTGCCCAAAAGATGGGCCTGCCTAGCCGACTTGTTCAGAGTTCTAGAGAGCAATAAGACCTTCCTGAATATCGAGCATTATTCCATTAAGCAGACCACTCTGGAAGAGGTATAGTGTCGTCCCTGGAGTGCTTCAGCAGACCATACATTGGGGCTAAACCCAGCAGAATTCAGAATTAGCCAGCTTTCATACTTAGCTCACATTTTCTTTTAATTAATCTTGTTCGGTTTTGCAAAATTCGGATAAGGACACTGTGTTAGGAGATATGTTTGCTATATGTTTTCCACTCAGTTTACATATTCAAGCATTCATACTTATTTGCATATCTGTTACTATGTAATATTACATAATTTTTTACATGTTTGAGTGTTTATAGTCTCAATGGGCCTTTGGGAAGTTAACCATATCCTGTTAATCAGGAGTTAATCACTCCTTCTTACCTCCTTTACCCAGTCCCCAAAAGACTCATTGGTCTCTACCATAGTTGAACAATAGCTAACTTTGGGTGAAAAACATGCTTTTGGTTTGCTAAGAGTACCAGAAGTGTAAAGTTAGATCCCAGCTTCTTTGTAAAACTGAGGATAGGGTGCAGAGACTTTGTAGGTGGTTTATGAATTGTGCAGAGGTGTTTGCCATCCCTGATGCCAGGCCCAGTGGACAAATGTGTGCATGGTGATGAAGGAGAGGGCAGGAAATGGGCTATTTCTGCCTTCCAGGACTGGCTGCGTGGTGTTCAGGTATAATCTCTTCCCCTGCTGATGGTCGCGACCAAAAGGTTGAGTGTTCTTATAAGTTGCATCTCCTTTCTTCGTTTCTTACAGGTATTTGTTAATTTTGCTACCGAGCAGCAGCAAGCTCTCCCTCCTTCTTTGGATCTGCCCTCTGATGGTCACCGCCTATGTCACCTGCCTGTCTAACCAGGAAAGGAATAGACTTGGCCTTTCTTTGTCACCGGTGTCCAGGCTTCAAGTGACAAGTGTGCCCCAGGAGCCCGAGTCATGTTCGGGTGTAGGGGGGTCAGATTTTCTTTCCTTTGCTGTCCTCTTTGAAACTGTTAATAACCCGCAAACTGAAAGGGGACTCTTTTCTGTAGACTTTTGGGGAGCTCCTTTCCCCAGCAGTTTGCTGTTTCCACGCTAGGGGGCCATCCACCCTGAGCCACCACTCTGGATGTGGGCCTGGGCCCACCCAGGCCACATTTCCCTTTGAAGGAAGCAGAATCCCTCCCACCCCAACTGTTCACAGACCCCAACTTGCTTGCGTTGGAAACGGCATCAAGACTTTTCTCTTTTTGCCATCTTTCCAGGAGACATGCTCATGTTTTAAAATAAAAAATAAAAATGCAAATAATTTAAATGCAAATTTTTCTTGAAGCTGGATGACTCAGCAGTATGGCATGGGAAAGTCTCCAATTTTTTTGTACAAAAGTGCTTTTTAAAATTAAGAATTAAAGAGCATTTTCAATCAGCCTATTAACACAATTAAAGAAATTGAACTAGTTTTTTATGTGTCATTTTGAATAGTTTTGCCAGAATCACATAGGCTATAATTTTGTGGGATTATAGAAAGAAATGAGGTGGACTGTTTCTTAGTTTGGACTTAGATTGGACGAATAACTACTTTTTTGTGATTCCAAGCTCTGTGACTTTACTAAGCCTGGTGGTTCTCACACTGGCTGCATCCATCTCCTGGGAGCTGGGTAGAAGAAATGCAGATTCCCAGGGCTGGTGACTTTCCAAGGCCAAAGCTGGAGCCCGACAGTCTGGATCGAAATAAATGTGTTCCAATCTGAGAACCAAGAAACTATCATGCTACCTTGTAACTAGATAAGCAAAGTCAGCGGAGTGGGCAATAACTACACATTAACTTTCTAAAGTTTTTAAATTTTTCTAAAAATTGTGTCATTCTCAGAATTGTTGTCCTTAAAGATGTGACTCTCAAAAGTTATGCTGACCTGATATTTTGCATCTTGTAGTTCATAAAATGTATAAAGTCAGTATATCCACCCGTGAAAATCATTTCTCATCACACACTTCTGAGCATCCACCTGACAGCATTTTTCCACAACCTTGGTAGACCACGTAAATTTTGTTCTGAAATTTGGCCTTGCTGGACTGGAGCCTTGAGGACTAGGGAACAGTGATGGAAGGAAAGCACTTCCTTGTGACATTTCTTTACTGAAACCAGATTTCATTAAACCTGTCTTTCTGGAAGATCATTTTATATCAGAGATATATTTGAAATGGTAGGAGTTAAGTCAGTCACGGGTAGCTTTTCCATGAGCTATTCTGCATCCATCACCGAAATTATGCAGTCTTAGTGAGTTACGGTTTAGGTTTTATGATTTTTTTCTACAGTTATAACATAGTCTCCATCTCAACATGAAAGATGTAATCTTTTTGTTGTTGAATCAATACATAGCAGTGTGTGAACCCTGAATCTATTTATACTGCAGTGAATAAATAAGATGTTCTGCAAGATAACCTGGTTCTTGGAATGTAATTGTTGTTTTTGTCAATATATTTCTTTGCATCTTTATTTGTGTCTTTAGGGATCCGATTTAATTTGGTCAAGGAAGAAACGGAACTACTCTGGGTCTTTTAAAGTTGGAAAGGTTAAAATTTAATTGAGTTTTGCTTCACTATGTTCTGCTCTTAGGGGTTCCTTTCTGGTCTTTGAATGGCTGTGTTCTTGAAGTTCGTGCTTCCAGGTGTGCCTTTGAACGGTAAACAGGAGAAAAGAGGAACCCAGTGTTCTGAGGGGCAGTCCCAGAAGACTGGACACAAAGGTCAAGCCCAGCGCTAATGTTGGAAATGTCACTGTGCGGGTACTCCATGTCTTTGAAGTTCAACATTTGTCTTTGGACCTTTGGGCTAAAGGGCACGTCAAATGACCCACTCATAAAAACTCTTAACCACTTGCTTCTGGGACTATTCTTGAGTATTTTATAAGGTAGAAGTAATGGGTTATTCCAGTTCCAATAATCTAGCGTGTATTATATAGTTTATTTTCACCCAGAGATTCAAACAAATGATTTATTAAAAATCACAATTATAAAAAACAAACAAGGGCTGTAGTTTTAGAAGAATAAAGACAAGCGGCGTAAGATTATAGTTAGATTTGTTTAATGAATATTACGTTGAAAAATAGCTCAATATGAGTACTGCAAAATATCTCACACAATGCACATGCTGCACTTCCCTACCAGCACATTATTCATGTTTATGTCGTCGACTTGATGGTTTCATCACTCCTACTCAAGTGGGCATAGAGTCATTTTAAGTGTTCAAACTGATGAGACCATGTTTCTCCTCTGGCTTTTCCTTTAGTTTGTAGTATTATCTCGAGTCGGGGGACTTCTTTATCTGTGGAATAATAGACTTGGTTTCACACACTTGAATAATTCAGAGTCTTTTCATGATGCCCAGAAACACACATACACACATACACACACACTCCAAACTACATATTCATTTCATTAATATTGAGTGAGCCCATTTTATAGGCAGAAGTAGATGGTGGGAACTGTAATAATCATGGTGGTGAGGGTGGACTAATAGATAAAAGAGCCACCATCTTTGTCCTTTAGAAGTAAACAGCAGGTAGACATGGCAAGAGGAGATTACATCCAACAAAGCCCTCTGCTTTGAGGCCACAGAGCCACCTCCTATAGCCAAAGGTGTGGGGACAGCCTTGTGTGACAGTTTCCACCTGGCTGGACCTGTACAGATGCAGACCAAGAAAGATTGCATTTGAGGCTAAGAGAATATCGGAGCAACTCAACAGTTACTTAATGAGCAATGGACATTTGCCTGTTCTGTGGAGGAAACTATTACAGAGGTTCACAGACATCTCAGATCTTTGACTTTAGAACTTTCCTTATATTCTGCAGTGGCTGCTACAGCAATGGCGGGGGGTTAGATTAAGGGTATAAAAGTACTGTAGTTTTTAGCAAGACTTCTGTTCTCCCTAAAGTGAAATGAAGGTTCTTATTCTGTGTAAAAAGAACCAGGCACACACTGGATGCACAGCCAGCAAGCTTTACTACAGGGACACACAGAGGATTTGTGGCCTTTGTGCAAGGGAGCAGCATTAATATAGGAGGCAGGGTGGGGCAAGGCTGGCTGGGAAGTGGGCGGGGCCTGTCAGTTTCAGAATCCCTGGGCGGAGCCAGATGCTTCTCAGGGCACTATGTGCAGAGCTTCTCTGGTTCCCAAGAGATGTGGGCAGCATAAATAAGAAAAGAGACACCTTGAGGGGCCCCATCACGACTCCTCCCAGCCCACCCACCTTGAGTCTAGATGCAGGGTGCACTTTTATTTACTTTCCATCCTTTTCTCTCCTGGTTTGACCCAAGTTTGCTCTGTAGAGCTAGTCCTTCCCTTTCCCAACCCCTTATTTTCAAATGAATTTCTGGCAGTGTTTGGTTTGTTTCATCTAATTCTTTGAGACGAGAAGGGCCTGGAGTACTTATGTTTGGTGAACTGTTTTTAAAGGGATGACTCAACAACAGAATGGATTCAGTTTGATCGGGTTGAGCAAATTAAGTGATGTCAAATTATGTGACTATCTTTAAAGGAATCCAGGTTCAAAGAATATTACTATCTCCAGGACTAATATTGTATGTTAGGACCTATAGAATAGATACCATTTATATTTACAAATATTATGGTCATATTTAATGATGTGGGTAAGAAAAAGAAAAAACTGCAGATACTTTCCACTTTGTCTGTAGCCTACCCCTTCACCTGGTGAGAATTCTGGTGGAGAGCTTTCGTGGATGAAGGTCTCCTGCTAGACAGGGTTGGACGGGGCTGCCAGAATTCGAGAGCACTGTTAATTATTTGCTGTTGTTTTTCATCGCAAAAGCTACACTTCACCTCCTGTGCATTAACCTAACACAATTTTCTTTACATTAAAATGCGTTAAGGAAAATAGGGTCCATTGGATCAAATGTCCATCTTAAGCCTAACAAAATTTGCTGACTTAATACCCCCATCTTATGAGCACCCCCGTCTTTCCAATAAAAGTGACCTCTGGTTGCTACATTTGTCCTCGTGTGAAGCTTGCCCTGGGCAGAGCCCTTGTGGCGCTGATGGTGAGGGTCTTGGTTCTTTCCTAATCCCATTTAAATTGGTGTCATTTTGGAGCTTGTCCTGCCCAAACACAATAGTGTGAAAACTTTGTTGGCCTTAGCACAAATTGAAATGAGTTAGAATCATGGGAAAATATGGTAAATGCTTAAATAATAATAATTAAAAAACAACAAAACAGTACAATACACATTGCCATGAATCCCCCTTGAAATACTCCCCTGAGGTCAAACACATTTCCCCACATTCGTGCCACTTCCTGCAGCAGTTCTGGAAGTCCTCTTTTGTGAGTGTCTTTAATGTTGCTGCTATGGATGTCTTGAGGTCCTGAATTGATTCAAAACATTGAATATTCATGGTCATTTTGACTGTGGGAAAAGTGCATATTATGTAAACCATTTCAGAAAATGAAGAAATTCTGTCCATTTCATGACACCAACATAACCTTGGCACACAAATTTGTGCAAGAACAGGAAAAAAACAAATACTGAGCATCCATGATAAACATGGGTGCAGACATACTGGTAAGTGAAATTAAACAGTGCAAATGTTTGATGTCTCACAATCCAATGCCATTTATCTCAGAAATGCAGAGTGGGTTGAAACAGAAACCATTAGTGTAATCCATTGCATTCCAAGGTAAGGATACATGTGTCTCAAATGCAGAAAAAATGTTTCATAAAGCTGATAATAATTTGTATTATAAAATTAGATTTGCAAGTCCATTTCACCATCAGATAAATATATATGATAGTGTTTGTGACATTTTCAACGCTGAATTGTATTCACGCTGTCTAAATATAACTGTTCTCAGGAACCTTTATTGATCATTCCTTTTCTCTCTTGTATAATTACCTCCTTAGAGCGGGGCCCTTTGTGACTTATCTAAGAGGCTTTCATGTTCTTCGTCCTGTGAAGTTCTCAGCAAGGCCGCGTCAGCATCTGCCCTGTGTCCTTCCTCCTTGCAGAGTAAGCCAGAGTCTGCCCAGTGGGCTCATGTTCCTCCCTCCAGGGCTTCTCTGCCTGTCCCACCCTGGATTGGGCTGTGCTCCTGGCATAGCTCTGCTTGAGGTCACCACAGCTTTCCAATTTCCCATGGACACTGTTCATAGCCTTCATTTCTGCTTTCCTCTCTGCTGAAGTGATTTTGATGTTGAATCCAGGATTCTGCACGCTTTGCAGCTTCTTCATTTGGAGGCAGTGGCTCCCTCACGGTGATGAGCTCCTGGGGCTCTGCAGGCCTAGCTCTTGCCTCCGTGTTGCCCACAGTCTTCTGCGCAAACACTCTTAAGGCTGGGCTGGCCGCTGTGCCAGGGACTCTCTGTTTGTGCCCCTCACAGCATGCAGTGGGGCTCCAGACCTGCAGGTGCCCACCTGGCCTCTGCAGCAGGGTCACCAACCCTCTTCATCACCTCTGGGTCACCTGCAGGGGACCCTGGCCCCCATGTCCCAGGTACATGAGCTGTTCTTGGAAAGTCTTCTTTGCTACGTCCTAGAGCCAATGCTTTATGAGGTCCATGGGTTCCTTAACATCTCTTTGTGGTCTCTCTCCCACCTCTCCTCCCCCTATCCTGATGAAGGCATCTTCTAGCTTCACCACAACATCAGTATCGTATCTGACTTCCTCTGGTTTTGCCTCCCTCCCTACCATCTGCCTTCTGTGTTTCAGATGGGGGTGAATATTTTCCTTTCTTTTTCAAATGTACAGTCAAGGATGGCACACTTCGGATTAAACTCCCTACCCTTATTCCCAGGGCTCTGGGAATAAAGAAATCATTTTTCATAGTGCTCCGAAGTCCCAGGCTAGCCTGTCCTCCACACCTCCCTCCCCTTCCGCTCTTTCAGTGACACTGGCTCTGCATTTGTCCAAGGCGTCCTGGTGGCCTTCTGCAGGAGAGAATGTGTGTGCCATTTCCTCTGCCGAGTCCTCTCTGCTCTCTCTCGTGTTATCCAGGTCAGCTTCTCTCTGTCACTGGAATGTTGGATGCCCCAGTTTTCCATGGGCAAAGCCGCGAGCCCCAGTGAGGTGCTCCTGGGAGCCGGTGGAACCTCAAGGTGTGGGAGCCGTTTCCCTGGGTCAGACAATGTTGTATCTTCCTCTAGGTGTCTCAACTCCTACAGGTCCTTTTATTGTTAAAAAAAAACAAACAAAAAAACCCTGGCTTTTTTCATATTTCTTTTCTATATATGGTGCAGTTGTAAAAAGCAGTTTCAGAGCGAGATGTATCACTTTACTCCCAAGGCCTGGAACGGATACAGCATGGATGCTTTTGTAAATGTTTGCAATCCAACAAGATTGCGTGTGGAGGTAGGAACTGCAGCGGCCTTCCACACCGCAC